CATAATTAAACTTCATGTTTAGGCTGATGGCTTTGCCACAGCCTTAATAAATTAAAAAAAAAAAATTAAGTAGGTGGCCAGTTCCGGAAACTTATAGTGCGCCCTATGTAGGTGAAGCGAAATAATTATTATATACCTATGTAGTTTAAAATCTTTAATGTCTATCTAAATAGATAAAACGAAAGTGTATGGTATGGAAAACTGATACGAAATACAACCTTCTCTTATTTGTAATTTCTACAGTATACTCGTGCAAGTTAGGTATGAAAAATTGTAATATATGTATATTCGTGCTCCTTATACATTGATCTATGTTACGGTTAAGCGTGATACAACATTTTTTGTGTTATGCTCGATAACAATGTTGCTCAAAATTACATTTCGTAAACTGGTGAATAGTTACAATATTGCTGCAAAATATACATTTTACAAGTTCTTTTTTTAATTAAAAATTCTAACCAAAAGATATGTATATGCCTAAATCCCAAAAATACAAAAAGTAAGCACGCTCAAGAAAAATAAAGCTATAAAAACGAGTAATTGATTTATTGTGTTCTGTTTACACAATCTCTGTGTTATTTTATTGTCTATTTTGGGTGCGATGGTAAAATATTTAGAATTGACATCAATAAATTATGTTGAATTTAAAAAAAATCTCGTCTCAAGAGTTACGAAAATTGGCTTAAAAATGCCTTAAAACAAAAGTTACATTATTACGCGAGAAGGCCAAAAGTTACGAAAATTGTAAGAAATTTAGCCATCTGGCTACACTGCTCGATAATCGTAATTATCTCGATTAGAACCACATCGCGGCAGAAAAGTGAAACTATGAGTAGGTACGACACAAGTAGCGCTCTCTATGTGAGTCAGTCTGCAGTCTGGTATAATTTAACAACGTTGACAGTCCGAGCAAGTGCCACTAGATACCAAAAGGGACGCAATAAAAATCCAGCAATTTGTTTGCAAATGTTTCGCGTCTTTTGTGACTCTACTATATACCTGAATATATAATATAATGCTGCGCTGCATCAAGAAATATACTAACGCACACGTTTCGCTATACAGTCGAGGTTCGGCGACGTCATTCTCATCTACTTAATTTCAACAATAATACCTGCAAGTAATTCTTCGGTTTAATAGTAAATCACGATTTATACAAGTATAAATTGTGAGTAACTACAAGTAACAAAATACAACTATTTATGTCATTGATGATGTAATTTCATCAGAAGAATGTAATAGAAGACGATTTTTGTTTGCTTAGAAAGTAGAATCGTCTTCTGTTACATTTATAGGTGCAGGCTGTTACTTAATTTTTGTATCTGCACATTACCTACATTTACCTACCGAGTCTCCATCTTCGAGGTATATCCTTTATAAACAGTTACATTCTCCCGTACCTCAGACATAACAGAAGGTAACTATATAATATAAATAAATATTAGACAGCATCACATACGTTGCTTTGATCCCAAAGTAAGTACCTAAAAAACACACATGTGATATGGAAATCGGAAACGACGATGGTACCACAAACACCTGAACCCGAGACAATATGGAAAAGTTAGTTTTCTACACTGACCCGGCCGGGTCATGATTTTAGGTGCCTATGTATGTAGTATACATACGTATAGGAACTTAAAATAATTAATATCTTACCAACTTTTACATCAATATAGAACGTACACTCATAGCCCCCACACTAGGGAGACCCTGTATCGCGGGTGCCATGGACACACACCGACAACCACAAATTACACTCAAACTCTCGAAATAAATAAATGTTGGCCATACAAATATTTGTCTCGGGAATCGAACCTGGGACCCCTGCGCAACGACAATCTAATTATATCACTTACCAACATTGACCTACCTTACCAATAAGTAATTTTAACTGCCTTGTGGCCGTACAGTCTGCCACGCAGAGGTTCCAGGTTCGATTCCCAGGCCGAGAGAAATATTATACTGAGAATAAAACCAAGCATTAAAAATACTTATTCTATTTATTCACATCATAATATTGCGTTTAAACAATATGGCGTCTGATAAAATACAAAATTAATTGCCTTACGCATTTTAGTTTATCCTAAAATAAAATTATTTTATTCAAATAATTCTTTACAAAAACAACAACCCAAGGAACTGGAAACAATTTTGATAATATAGTGCATTCGAGTGCCTTATGTCAGCGACACTATAGAATTTTGAAAATTTGACTTGGAATAAGGCATGCTGAAAACAATATTGATATCATAAATAACCTTCACGTTCTCTTGAAGATGTGAAGGAGATTTAAGATTGTACTGCGGCGATACCGCCTTCACGTTGAGGACAAAGGCGGTATCGACGAAAATCATCACAGTTGCATGGATTTTCACATAACATTATACGACTGAAAGGTCATGATTGTTTGAACTTAGTAGACATGGAATATGTATGACTACGAAAAATAAACATGGTGTCATTTTATACAAAATACAACAGATCATCTGATGTACAATACATTAAGCTACAAAATCTCTAATTTGCATGCCGCCATGGGTCAATTACACGTAAATAAAATAATAATCAATGTACACGGTCATAAAACTTACTATATTGTTATTTAAGTTGTTTTCGTTTAATTTCAGCGATCATAAAACGTATAAATAAAATAAATGCACATAGATTCCCTAAAATCTACAAGACGCAATGTCTGCGTTACACCTAAATACCTTACAACTTTGGTAAACGTTTTAGCCACTCCCTCCCGTCATTAGTATACTGTGTATAATGTACGAAGAAATATTTTATGAATTTCCGAAGTACTGAGTACGCATGGACGAAGTGAGTCATGCTCGATGTGATCATAGTAAATTTCGATTCAGACATGTGACGCCTCCTCTTTAAATCACGAACCTAACATTCATAATACACCGCTCCATGGCTCTACCCTGCCTCTTTCATATGAGCTTAAGCAATTGGAGCATGAATAAACATTTACCCTGTATCAATGTAATCAGTGCCAAGACAACAAATATATATACTCGTACATACATGGTGTACACAAACATTGGCTCGGATACCGGTAAAATTTCTGAACCGGTTTGGAGTCAATGAACCCCGTACGAAATAGGAACATTGGCATTCTTTTTAGGAATATAAATATTTTAAATTTTATATTATAAAACTGTCACCTCTATTGTTTTTATATTTTGTCGAATATATCATCATGTGGACATATCCGTATCTCCGTTTTATAAAGCTACAAGAGGCCCTGGTCCTTTATGCTAGTGTGCGTATGTACATTGTAATTTAAATTTGTTATTATGTATAGGGTGCTCCTATTACGGGGAGGTATTAAACATTATTAGTTATGTAATAAGAACACTGGCATTCTTTTTAAGAATATAAGTATTTTAAATTTGATATAATCAAAGAGAGACGCAGGCTTTTCAGAGGCGTCGCGAGCATAGCGCGAGGCGACTTCGAAGTCCCTGCGCCCGTGTAAGCTGCAAACCCGGCACCATAGGTAAAGCCGGCACTGCGTCTGCGACTAAAAAGCGCAATAGATGAAAGGATTCGCATTGAAATTTATGGAATGCCAACGATGAGGCCTGTATTTCAACCAAAATATTATGGTGACGGTTGTCGCATGTTTGTAAGCAAAATGTGTATGCACTTGTGACCGCTAAGGATTTTGTATAATTCGCCATTCAATATTCTTTTCATATTATTATTATTTAATAGGTAAGCAAATTACACTTGAAATCGTCACATTTATTAAGCAGTTACCACGCACACGCACATTTGTAAAGCACCTGTTTTTTGGAGCTGTTCAGTTTTTATTTTGTTTTTGTTCCTTTATTTTTTTTCCACAAAATTCGGGAAGCATAATATTAGTAAATAAGTATGGCTGTTTACAAAAATAACAGAAAATGACCGAAAAATAAAGTTGGCGTAGTGTTCATTGGAGGTATCAGTTTGTTCCCATTTACAATATTTATTAATTGGCGAAACGTCCTGAAAGAGCTCTTCCAGGATGTTTTTACCACGGGTCAATTCCATACATTTTTGTCATCCAAGTACGCAGAAATTGTATTTAACTTTAGTATAAAGTTTTTGTTTCCCCAGTGACAATAATTGCCATTACATTCATGGTCTACCATGAATGTAATGGCAATGATGGATTTATTCACAGCGTATTCACAGAACGTATTCTACGGTGTGATCCCTTTCGTTTATTTCGCTTTCAACATTTGTATTAAACAAATTACTTATGTACAGTTTGTTTTCAAAAATTTAAATGTGTTGATATATATTACAAAAATGTAGAAAATTTTAATTTGTGAGGACAGCATTAACCCAAAACTACGGTATCCACAAAAAACAAATCGTCGTAGCAGACAGTGGAAGAACATTACTGACATTTGAATAAATAAGATATGAAAACTATACATATAAATTATCACACACGTGTATGTACGCTGCACGCCGACGTGAGATTTGGAAAGAACGTGTGAGTTATGTTTAAATTATCAACATTTAATCAGTATGACATTATTGAGAAAATAAATAAATTATAGACCCGTCATGTGATGTAGAGACAGATGGTATCCAGTTACACGACGCGAAATTTTAACGCGACCGCCGCGCGGCCACCGTGCACCGCCCCGTTACTGACTAGGCAACAACATTTAAATTCCTCTGAATAATACAACCACGTGGCCGCACGGCAGCTGCCACACTAGTCCGCGGCACGCTCGCGCGTCCGGGACGCTCAATTAAGTTAAAACGTAAAAGCTAAATAAATAGAGCGTACTTTGCCATAATAGTCAGATGCACATGGTCGCTGTGCGGCGACCGCGCGGCGTGAGCGCGATGAAATTCGTGTCTCACGGTGTTCCTAACGCGCAGTTGTGTTTCCATCCAATATTTAAAAAATATTATATAGATATTTTTTACCAAAATTATCAGGTACGCCGTGTGTCTCCATGTCACGTGGCGGGTTAAAAGATGAATTCATAAATAATAAATATTGAGTAAAAATATATTGTACCAATGCACATTTACGACCCGAACAAATCACAAGTCCTGTGACTACACACGCGCATAGTACGCGCTAACAGCATAAGTACCTACGTATAACATAACAAAGTATCTACAAAACAGTTTTGACACATAACATGAAACTATTTAATCCTATCATTTACGATTAGAATGAGAATTATACAACAGATAGATGATAATATATAGCCACAAAGATATTGATCGTTGTACTGTTAAATACATTTAACAAGCAATAATCTTTCGCAAATGAAAAACTATTAATATTCAGTCGTTAAATGCAGAGACGTTTAAGAATTATTACCTTTGCTAATAGTATTAAAATTTAATACGATACGTTTTTCTATAGTTCATAAAGCCTGCTGCATCTTTGCGTTGTTTAATTTAAAACAAACACGACTAGAAGGAAATTGCCGGTGCATCTAGCTTCTATTTTTTACAAAACACGCAGCAATAAAAAATGCCGGGTCAGGACGTGCAATCAACTGTTAAACGTCTTTTATCAATTGGAAATAATGCTTATATATTCACTAAATTACGGTTATTTGTTTATGTGGTACTAAGTTTTTAATGATCTCTATTTTTACTAAGTAGAAGAGAAAATGGATCTCGGAATAATTATGAATTTACATGTAATAGGCAATTACTCTTAGAGTGTCTAAAATTTGTGCGGTTTGGAAATTAGGTTTGAATATTTATAGCGTAATAGTAATATGGTGTCCTTCCCGTGCCAACTGAATGAGGGATTCAGTGGGTGCGGCACTTCGGAATAAAAAATCATGGCTATTCTTCTTATTAAACAATCAGAACTTAGAGAACTATGTCAAACAAAACAAGACCCGTGTCCGCAGTGGGACGTCATGTCATGGGTTGTTTAAGGCTTGCTCCCGGAATTTCTCGGTACCAGAAAAACCGGGAAATCACGGTATTGACGAGATGCAGTCAGTTCTGATACCGCGATTATAGACACTTTGTACTTTTGTTTATAGCAAGGGAGCAAGGAACCTACCTAATGTCGTTTGACTTGTGTTTTATGATCAGATGTCTGATAATCGGATACTTTTTTATCTGCAACTAACATCGAATGCTTTAACATGCGCTTTTGTATCGACAAAATACCGCGACACTGGGATTGACGAACTTATTCAGTCATAAGTACAAAACTGAAAGTGTTATTTGTAATTTTACAATTAGAAAGTGAAAAACGTAAAATATATGCAGAATAAACTTAATATTTCATTAGTGGCATAAAATTATAGAAATTGAATTGAAATTTGCGAATGTGAAAACATCATAGCACAATTGTATCGTTTGATATCTTACGCGCAGGTGCAACCTATAACTTGTACTTGTGCAACCTGCAACCCTAAACGAGGGATTTTAGTAAGTTTTGTGAATCTTCTTATACGATGTTCTACCGGGAATATCGGGAGTATCGGTAGGTACTGGGCTCAGCTCGGTACCGGTACAATCAGTATTCCCGAGAATCAAAAATTTAGGAACCGGACCCGTTTTGCAAGGTCAAGGGTTGATATAGTAGTGTACAATGTATACAGAGAATAACTTTTACTAGAACAAAATAAACCAAAGTACGCACAATTTGTGCGTCGACTGCTTCTAATCGGTTTGATTAATTTCGCAATCAATGCAGGTAGACATAAAAAGCATTTCAATTAGCACTACATGCCTAACTCATATACGATAACCAATTATGCGCGTTATAACACCTACATATGCAATATGTAGCTATTCTTAACGAGTTAATTTTAAATAAAAGTTGAGGCTGCGTTCTTGGTAATCTGATAGGTACTAAAAAAACATATTTATTAAAAACATCATTCATTCTGACGACTTACAATAGCTTGTATATTAAAGCGTTTGTAAACAGTTGAAGCGATAGCAAAAAGAGGCTTCTCTCGGCCTTGTCGGAGCCTGTGAATTGTACGATATTTGTGCAGAATTATGTTTACTGTTAACGCAACCTCATAGTTGAATCACCTAACACTATTGATAAAATGATGCATAACTGTATTAAACGAAAAGATAATACACGGGTATGCTACCTATGTATGTACAAACCCTATAATGATGAAAGATAGACACAATTATGGGATTTTTAATTGTTTCAAATTGTCAGCATTAAGCATGGGACTTCATCACAAATAGTTAGAAAATTTACCAAATGTTCTGCAGTTCATCTTAAGATGTGTGTGTGGGTTGAGTGAGCACCTTTTGTAAAATGTTTAAAATATATTACTCATTTAGTAAAAGTTCTAAAACAATTGTCCATTCCACTCTTTCCTATATGTAAAAAGATAAAACAAGAGGAAAATAACTTAACACACTCACTCAGTTCTCACAGAGAGCCAGTTAGATCTACAAAAGTATTAAGTTTGCATATAATATTATTGTACTACTTTTAGTAAAAGTTTAGTTAAGCTATCGTATTTAATTACAGATCGACTAGCGCCTTTTTCAAATTTTGACAAATACTTTCTAAGACGGTTTAAGAGGGTGCTCACTCAATTCACACACACGTCACTTTAACAGGTACAGAAACAGGCTATGAAGATTGTATTGAGTCAGAGTAAAGATCACGAGATTTGTGACTCGATTGCTGACTTTATTTCCCTACATAGCAGTATTAAGATTTCATTAGTAACATTATTCCCTTAAAAAGGCTTTCTTTCTCACTATAGAGCAGAGAAAATACTGAACAGTAGATAGATATTTTTCAGCTGTGGACACATTGCATTGTACTAATATAACAATGCACAGGAAACACCCAATTTGTCTAGCATATACCAAACGCCGCATGACAGAAGTAGCTAGATAACAATATTCAATGGTTGTGCTCACAAATAATAACATGGTCTTGTTATTTTATACTTATCTATTGAGTGAACAGTATTGCAAAACACAATTAGACAAACAGTGGTAGGAGATGTCTGACTGCTGAAAGTTTAAGTAGCTGTTCATAGCCCTAGGACATTGCAGCAATTAGCCCTTTAGCCGAGTCACGAAAATCGATCATAACTAAATAAGCACTAATAATCATCAAATATCAATATCGGCGTGATAGTTAAATTTAAACTAATTGATTGTATTATGTAAATAGGTCAATACAAATTTGTTTGAACAACAGTATAGGAAAGTCCAATTGCCTAAATAAGGCAAAATATATCTACAATAGTTACTTAAATAACATTATTTTTATCACACATACTATTTTCTAACTGACTTATAACAGGAGATTTCATGCATAGCACATACTTACATGTTTATAGCAATTATTGCGCATATACAACTTGATGTGAAAATAACACTGCGTGATACGAAATTAGTACCCGAAAAACTGATAGCTGTATTAGAGTGCTATTACTTACAGTATATGTTCAGTAAATATCTTATATTTCTGTCACATCTAGTTTTTGGGGTACCTGTACGCATTTTAGTAAAAAAATAACGTAATTGACGAAATATGTTTATTTTATGTAAGTATTTTAGTGATAAATTATCTGACAGCATAAATGTATAGTTTTCAACAATGAATACTGAAAAAAGTGGTCTTTGCGAGTGCAAAAATTTGCCAATCCAAGTTTTGTTTGCTGTAGACAGCACATTATCAAATTGCAAGGAACAAAAGTATCTGATAAAATATGAAATGCACATTTGCTATATTTTACACATATTGTACATCATGATAAGTTCTGAGTTCCGTACCTGTTTTGTGTATCATACTATCTTGTCTTGGCAGAACAGAAATAGAACATTCATGCCTTTTGCAGCAACTGATACTGCAGCATGAACACAGTAAACTACAACAATTATGAGATGACCAATGACTTCCAATGTGGGTGCTGGATTAGCTGGACTCGAGTTAGATTCTCGATAGGAACATTTTGAGAAAGTAACTTTTCTAAATTGGTTATGGTCAAGGTGTTCCGGGTAGTGCTCCGGAGTGAATTTCCTTGCTCTTGTACTGATACTACAGGGAATTTTCCAGTTTGAGACCCTGTGTAAAAAATTTTTTAGAAAAAAAACAAGTACGGTGCAGGTACTTTTTAATTGTTTCCTTAGTACCCCAGAAATTATATGTGCAATGAAAAAAACTGAATTGCTATAACATGATAATAATAAATAAACAAACCAGGACATTTGAGAAGCATACTGTGCATATGTTTTTTTCAAATTCGTAACACAGTGTAATTGATGCACAACAATGCAATATATTGAATGTGTATGTACATGTACAAATACATAATTTGATTATAATGTAACATGACCTTATAAGATTCAATATCCTATCTAACTTCAAATATAGTTTTTGTCATAATTCACTACAAACAATGATCTTGGACATCAATAATATCCACAACTATATTAATATAAAATTTGTTCTTAGTGAACTTTTAATGTTAACTTATTTATATGGCATATTTTTAACTAACGTATCATTAACACTGTGTACACACCAAAACTCCAAATAAGGTAAGAAAGTCATCTTTGGTTGCAACCTGCTTTACTATATTAAGTACATGTAGCACTGGGTTGATTTTCTTTTAAAATATTGCTATACAGAATCAACTTTTGCATTTGCTATATTTAGTGGGGCATATGCTGGTGCGGGTTTGCGCTTGAAAGTGACATATGTGTACAAGAGACTTGCCAGGACACTTATGTTCAATCCAACAAAGTTCAACCATGAATAAACATAGTCACCACCAATAACCATACCCAGGTATGTTACTAATACATTCTTAAGGCACCCAATAATGGTGGTAGTCAATGCACTATTGTGCTGAGTGCACAGCATCACACTGTACGACAGAATGAAACCCATCACACATGATAGCATGAATTGTATTTGGAACAGTATATCATTCCAATATGGGTAGTTAAGAGCTTTGTTCAGGTCTCCAGTAGACCATGCAATGTATGCGGCCGGAATTATCATGAACAGTGCATTGTAATACATCAATCCATATTTACCCAATTCCTTTGAGTCCAACTTCTTTTTCATGAAAACTCCATTAGCAGCTGTGAAACAGTCATTCAATAGAACAAAAGAGTAGCCAAACCATGAAAACGTGACGTCATCGGCGGCCGCGATAAGTGCGCCAGCAACCATGGCCATCACACTGCATTGCACTGCCCATGAGGCTCGAATGCCAAGCACGAATCGCTCTCCAAGCATTGTCATTAAGATGCTGAACCGCCGAAGGGCAGTGAACATGGGTAAACTCAATTCTTTAGTGCCTCCCAATCCTGTGACCATGTTCCCTAGGTAGATGAGTGGAAGAGGCCAAATGCGTTGCACCACACTAAAGTCGAATGCAGGAAATTTGACAAGCTTAGCATGCCGTCCAAACCACAGTACTGTAATCGTCGCTATCATTTGACCCAACCCTAACGCTTGGTACGAAGGGAACCCATACGTAGTCAACACTGTTTTGTTCACAACTGTTATCATAAACGATGCAACCGCGTAGAACACCGCACTGAGGATTTTCTTCACCATGTCAACTTCGGTTTCTTCGATTGTCGCGGGACTCGACATCTTGGAGTTCCACGTATTAAATGTGGTTAGAAGACGCACAGAGGTAACAAATTTAAATTAAGCAATTTCGACATGAATGCTTGCCGGCGGCAGCACGGTTCTTTATACAGACACGGTAGTTCATTACGTATGCGAGCATTCATCACGGTCTGTTGAAAAATACATTTTGATAATGAACATTTAATTGAAATAATCCGCGATTACGGGGCGTGTACAGTAAAATATTATACAATATCAGAACGTTTTTTTTAATAGTTTGACATAAGATCGACAAACTATTGACATTGACAATGATTCGTGTCGTCATGGACAGTAAGAATTTAAAGTCTTGCCATTTTAGAAAATGGCTGTATCTTACGATACCAGTGCCTCAAAAAGAATGACGCACCAAGAAATTAAAACTATAGCCGTCCAACCATAAAGCAACTTTTGTCTCTGGGTGTAGTTGTAGTTTAATTTTTATTTATTCTTAATTTACACAAAAAATCAATTTATCGCCTTGAAATAGCCGTAAAAAAATAACGTTTAGATTAATAAAGTGGTCATTCTTTAAATCTCTTTCTAAAACCTAGCTTACTTGAATCATTGTTTTGTTGGACAATGAACGGTGCATTTTGTGAACAAGCGACATTTTGATAATTTTTTCGTGTATTGCCATGCCAGTCAAAAGAATTTGTATCAAAACGTAAATTATATATTGAGTAGTCGTTGCAATTCTGTGATTTTTATAATTATGTATATTTAGTGCGTAAGGAAGAAACGAGCGACGCATACGTGGGCAGTTTGATTATCGCGTCAATTTTTCAGTGAGTACACCTTCTTGTAGTTTTGGGTAGCGGACGCGTAGTTCTGAAAGTGGTTGCTGTACAGTTAGGCGAGTGTAATTGTTGGCAAGGGCTCGTGGTGTGGTGTTGCAGGTGAGATGGCGATGCCGGAGCAGTTCTCACTGCGGTGGAACGACTTCCACGCGAACCTGTCGCAGTCGTTCCACGCGCTGCTTGAGGGCGAGGACCTGGTGGATGTGACGCTGGCGGCAGGGGGCCAGTATGTACATGCTCACAAGCTGATTCTCTCTGTCTGCAGCCCCTACTTCAAAGAGCTATTTAAGGTATTATCTTAATTTGCATAAATTGTTACATTTTCCTGCTATTGTGAAAATCATTGACTTTATTCAGTAAATCAATATAGTAAGAACTTGTGGTTGTACATGACTGAGTTATGTTTAAAACGTTATTTAGAGTAAAGTGAATGGTGATAGCATACTTCATGATATTTGTTGTTGATAATGCATGTTTACAAGTACCATAATCCACTGGCTGAAATTCCATTGATATGAGACAGATATTGGCCTATTTACATGTAAACTGATTGATCCATGTTCCATCTCAATGTTTGCATATCTATACATGTTGTTTATAGATATCAGTAATTAGCTGTCTTGTGACAAAGGCTTTTCTACCCCATATTTAAGTCACTTTGTCTCTTCATTTGAGGTAACTAATCAGGCAGAATTTGGTTACTGTGTATAATTGAATCCTTTCGGCTGTTTTAGGCCACAATGAGAAATGACTGCAATTAAAAAGGACCATTTCTCAAATTGAGTATTTCTTGAATTGACTACTACTTGAATTGACCATTCTTGAAATGACCATTTTATTTTTTTATTACAAATTGGTTTTTCACCGTTTGTAGACCCTTTAGCCAATTAGGACCATGCCCAGACATTTATCTTAACTAAAAATGAAAATGAAATGTTTTATTTGCCTCTTTTTGTCAAATGGTTGCAAAATCCAGTTGCAATGGATGGAGGGACGTTACCCTCCAGGGTGATAATAAGCAATATCTAATGTAAAGTTCCATCATCAAACTTGTGATAATGTTCCTAATCTGAAGCCGAAACATATTGAATTTTTAAAAGTAGTTAATGCAACAAGGAGCCATTTCAAGAAGTGACCATTTCAAGAAGTGTTCTTTTGTAGAAGTAGCATTTAAGGAAATGGTAATTTCAAGAAGTGGTCATTTGTAGAAGTGGTTATTGGAAGATGTTGTCTCATTGTGGTCCTAAACCACTGAAAGGATTTGAAAGTACTTGTTATCATACAACCCTTTATAAATTCCTGCCAGTATCTATAAAACGTCTGAATAATGGTTATTTCAACTAAGTTAATTTACAGAAGCATCAACATATTGTTTGTACCCATTGCGGTTTTGTATTTAACTATGTATATTTTTGATGAAAGGTGGGCACTAGGATTAATATTTTTGTAGTTAAATGAAAAAGACAATTCTATTGCATATACAAAATTATGGGTAAAATGATTTATGTGGTTGACAATGTCATCTTTGCATAATAGATTGTATCTGTTGCTGTTCCATGTCTCATCCATCATGAGTCAATAAGTGTACAGTAAAACTCATGGGTGGAATCTGTATGTTTTTGAACATTGGAAGTCCCTGTCTGAACTTTATGGCATGTCACCATGCGTGGCATAGCTGTGGCATGTGTATCTAAGGCTGTCTATGGCTTATCTACTTTTTATCTTACATCATTAGATAGAAAGTTTCTCAGTGTATATTAAGAGTTATTTAGTTACTTTGGGTAATTGCGCAGTGACTTCACAGCGTTCATCAGCTGTCAATGCACAGCAATACATTGTTTGTCGGGCTAGCGGTGCTGGTTTGCATCTAACCATTCATACATAATGTATGTGTATGTGTTTGCGTCTGCTTTTTTCTAAATACTTTTGACGTGTTGTCTGTGATATTTGCCACGGAGTTATAATTATGTTACCTACTATAATATTCAATATGTTTTCAATTTTTTAATTGTGTAGATGACGATTGCGCAGCGTGCGAAAATCTGTATAGGTTTATGCACATTGTTTTTGTTTTGTTAATTGTATATTGAAAAGTGTAATAATAATAAATAAATAAATAAATAAATAATAAAAATAAGAAATTAATACTCATCTTCTATGATCACTTACTAGGGATCTCTATTTTGTCTGGAATATTTATTTTTAAATTATTACCCACACAAAAGTGTGTTAGGTAAATTACATATTGAGCATAATATAGATAATTAGCAAAGAATGCCAACTCACTGTTCCAGTTATTGTCAACAACAAACAATCATTAACTAATTGTACCATTAATTAGAGTTATGCTGAAATGCCTGAAGTTTATGACTCAGCAATTCTCAACAATGACCCTTGTTGGTCCTCAAATTAGGTTTATTGTTATCCATTGCTGTTTTAATAATACAATGTTATATATTATTGATAACCACACAATAGAACATTAGTTCTTACTTAATAATGTGAATATGTGAAAATTATTCTGTTCTAGTCTTAGATTGTAAATGTTTATATTGAATGACATTGAATATTAAACAAAGAAAATGACAAGAATGGTGTCATGAAATAAAAGCATTCATTTCATTACATGGTATTCAAAAATTTCAAATGTTATTAAAATGAAATAAATTATTTTTATTGCAGTTTGCCCAAAAAGCATTGATTGATCTTTAATTATCAACAATTATGATACCAACAAGTTTTTGCACCAAAACGGCATATCAAGAGATCTGGTTTCTTTAACATTTTTAGGGGTCCATAGTGAAATGGTTAAGTACGTCATATTATGTCAAACTGATTTAGTTCTTGGTGTATGACACGCACGTTTAAGTCATTTGTAAACTTTTTGCTTTGTTTTTTTTTTGAAAAATGATGTCACTTCTAAAAAATGCATTAAATATATTTATTTACCACATTTCGTACATATTTACACCACACATAAAGAATTGAAACCATTGACCAATCCTACGAGTTAGATCATGTCACATGTTACAAATTCATTATTCTTATGTACACTGGCATATGTCCATTTTCTTTTGTACTTGAATTAAAGGTATTATTTCGTCTTAAATTATCATCGCAATAATATGTCGCACATGATTACAGTTGTTGTTTAGCAATATCGCACTTTGGATACAAGTTTGATTATGATGTTTTATAGTGTTAGTACCATACACTTTAATATTATGATTTGATTGATTCATTGATATTTGTTTGCATAAATATTGTGTAAATATAATATACAATATATTCACAAAGGGTGGTATATTGTAACAGTTTTCATATTTTACCAAAACTGGCATTCTTACAAATTTTATATATCTGAGGCTAATTCTAATAATGTAACTAGAGTTATTAATTATACAAATTATAAGTAGTTGTAAGCTATTGTCATGTCTTGAAAAAGTATAAATAAGAAAAGAAAAAATATAATAAGTTCATGTTATTGTAGGTCAAATCAATTATTATACTTATAGTCAAATTTCAGGAACTTTATATGAAAAGAAGTCTGTAATAGAGCAGAAATTTGCCATGACACTAGCTTATGTTTAAATAAATGATTACTATTTATATCTTTTAAAGTATTATATATTTTCACACACATGGCTCTAGATAGTATTTGGTAGTAACTTAATTTGTTACTAGTGTGATTTACTACTCTGTCTGAATCTACTAATCTGTCTGTGACAACCTTTACATTTCTGTTGTGAACGTCATGTGTCCTTTTAAAAAGTTTATAATTAATTTTGACAAATGAATGTTGTGTTGTTTAGATGAACCCGTGCGAGCACCCTATTGTGATTCTGAAGGACGTGGCGCACCAGGAACTGCGGCAGTTGCTACAATTCATGTACCGCGGCGAGGTGCATGTACGTCAGCAAGAGCTGTTCGGTTTTCTGCATACGGCCGAGATGCTGCAGGTTAAAGGCCTCACTGTAGGCCGCGAGGTGAGAGTTGTACCTAACTAGGCCAAATGCTTACTTTCCGAGTATAATGTGGCCAACGCATCTGCTTTTTCAGCTATGGTAGTTCTTTGGCCATAGACGCGCATTGCTGGTGCTGCTAACCTGTTTCAGAAAAGATTATGTATTCCCATAAGTTCTGTAAAGTTTCTTTGCTTATTTTTATGTACGACAGACAAGCGAATCACCGCCAGCAGTCCCTGAAGAGCCAAAGCCCAAGCAAGAGCCGAAAGCCGAAGTGGTAGAGGCGCAGCCCGAGTGGGTTCCAGGCGGGGAGGACACCATCGCTACAGAGGCGCCGATGGAACCGGTCGTCAAGGAAGAGACTGCCCGCAGTCCACTTAAAAGGTAGGTGAAATGGGGGCATTGAGGGTGAAAATAAATAAATTGGACAGGATAAATTTGTTTTGCGATTGAGTGTCTCGTGCAAATTTCACATTACTACACCGCATTGACGTAGAAGCCAATCATCGTGTTAGCATCCAACCATTCCAGTGTATGGATTGTATCACGGAAGAAAGAAAAGAATGGAAATGGCAACAAGCAACATTTGTATCAAAACCGATGTCGCCACGCGCACAAATTTGAAAACGTAATCTTACATTAGTACTAAGATGACATAATTTTGATTGGTTATAAATTATCAATCGTCAGTAACGCCAATAATAAAAAACTTTTGGTAAAAAAATTGAAAGTTATTTGGATCTTAGAAGGTTTTATTATTACTAGTCACAACGCTAAGAATCCTATGAACATAAACTTCTTGGAACAAATGCCAAAAGTTGACAATCTACAGATAGGGATGTGACATTTAATTGATATCGACATTATGTTTCATAACTAGCGGAATATTGAACTAGGCATTGCTTTATACTTGCTATAATTAGGGTTAACCACGGAGTATAAGGAAACGGCATTTAAAGCAATTTCTTCGAGAACTAGTGTAGCTGACTTTTACACGCACACATTTGTTACCAAATACGCATAAGGTTTTACTACACGCAAATATTAATTAATTTTAGCTACGCAGGCGTGTGCGTATTCGTAGCTACATGCTACAATCGCAGTATTAACGATTTATTATACTGTCATCGTACTTTCATTAACCTACTAGATTTCAAGTCAGTCCGATCACAGGAACGGTTGAATATTAAAACACAGTCATATTAAAAATCTTTATTCTCCCTGAAATATGATATATTTGTACAACAATTACCTCTTTCTGAACTGACTGAACATGACAACATTCATGGTGTCGACAAGCTTGTCAAGAAAATGAAGATACTTATTTCCAAAGCCGAAGGAGCGAATCATTTGTTTCATGAAAACTTGACGAAAAATAACTGACAATGCTTCAGAAATGTTTTCACAGTTCGATGTGGTCTGTACATTGTGAAGGCGACTCTGAGTTTCATGTCATACATTATCTGGTTAACCAAATGATTTATTTCTTAATGAATTTTTCGGTTGTTATTCATATGTATATAATATAATGTGATATCATAAAATGCCTATAGCAAGTGGTGCCACATTTAGTAGGTACCCAGCTTTTACTGCCTGTTGCTTCAGCCCATTTCTTCTTTAAAAAGGATCCGGCGGGAAACTACAAAAATCAACACAAAAACTGCAAATGTAAATCATGCCTGTGATAAATTGAGAACTCAAGCTGATGAAGGTGACGTATAATAATAATAAAGGAACAGGTGCACCGTCGGATTCGGACGTGCTCCACTACACAGTAAGAATTACAATAATTCGCGACTCGCGCGTCAATAACCGCTGCACGTAAATGACTATGGGTTCCCAGCAACTTATAGCCAATGAACTGCTGGCGTTCATCCAACACGATGTCGACACTATGGACGAGATCAGTGTCGTGCATGTCTGCAAATCAAATTTCAAGGAAGAGGAGATTTGCAATGGCAAGGCGCTGCTTTTCCGTATGCCAATGGCTGAGCAGATGCCACTTCGCCGGAGGGATGGAGGAGCGAAGAATCTCCAGGACATCACGTTGTTAAAGGAGACCAACCCAGAAAATGTGCCTGCTTTCGTGGCGAAGGAGCTGCACGTTCGAGCACGTGGACCTTGCTGAAGTTCACTGTAAATTGGAGGCCTCGGACAATACCATCAGTGAGTTGCGTGCCCAAGTTGCGTTACTGAGTAGTACGGCTTCGGTAAGTAGGTCCCCCGAGGTCTGTAATGTGAATACTCGTCGCGCGGCGCAAAACGCATCTATCGGCAGTTTTGAGTCGGCCCATACGTCGCCGACCACTGTCACTACGTGCGTTTCCCCGCTCCCCGCCTCTCATTCTTCCGTCCCGGCGGAGAGGTCACGCTTAAGCCTGTTGACCCCTCAACGTGACTAAGCTGCTGTCGACGCTGCTAACCGATCCAGTGCTCCACAACCACAACCCAACAAAGGAGAAGAAAATGAAACGGATGCTCATCTCTGGAGATGTATCATCAGTATTACCGAGAAGAGTTGAACAGTGCGACGAGGACGGTTTCAAAAAGGTGTAAAGGAAGAAGTACACCAGCCTTAATCTTAGTGGCACCGCCCCGTCTGGCCCTAATCATTTACTGCGTCCAGCGATACCGACGACGTTGTTATACGTGTCACGGCTTCATTACTCCACAAAGTCTGCCGATATTGTGGAGTATATGCGGGTGAAAGCCCATGCTACCCTGAGTGTCGAGCAGTTGGTGTCCCGCCACTATGTAAATTTTATTTAATTTGTGGTGAGAGTACCAACTCGACATCTGTCGACCTTTATGAAAGATGAGTTTTGGCCAAAGCGGGTCATGTACCGACTTTTCCGAGGTCGGCTATCGCACACGTTGCTTCATACGTCGCAGACAATACGAGTAAATAATAATTAGTCAGTAGTGTTTTTGTTGTATTATTATGTATATTAGTCTATAAGGTATGTAAGGTGTGCATTCATGGGTCTTTGTTACCTTGAATGCAAATAAATAAATAAAAAAAATGAAAATAATAAGCAAGTAGGGAGATAGGAATCATGTAGACAAGGGAAACAAAATTCGCCAATCTCATAAAGTCTTCATTTGGTACTCTACGAGCTTACGTGCATTCTACAATTATTGATACTGTACCTCTTCTATATATATTTCCTTTTTTCCATTAATATATCGTTTTTACTTAAATTGAAAATTAAAAAAAAATATATTGCGAGTGTTGGGACCAAACATTTAAGTAATCAAAATTGTTAGCTTTTAAATACCTGTAAACAATTTATGTTTACACATTGGTACTACATAAATTTCACACGCCATGCAACATGACTATTTATAGCTGGTTTGCAGAAGTCAAACGCAGTCGTGTCAATCTCAATGACGAATTGCGTGATGGTCGCTCGTCCACTGCTGTGAACAACAAAAAAAAAGGTGTGAAAAAGCTGTGCTCTCAGTGGATCGCACAAAATTTGACTGAGGCTCAAAAAACGGATCGCTTCACTTGGAGCAATGCCATGCTTACTATATGCAACGAAGGGGCGTCAGATTTGGTGTGGCACATAGTAAAAGTGATGAAATATGGATTTATAGTTACGACCCCAAAACAAAGCAGCAATCGAGCGTATGTATTCGAGATGTGCCGAAACCAACCAAAGTGGCGCGCGTGCAAAGTACCTCTAAGCGGTTGATTGCTTCTTTTTTTAATAAAATTGGACACGTTGCTACTGTTGCTTTGGAGAATCTTTGTACCGTGTGTAGTGATTGGTACACGAACATTTTTTGCCAGAAGTTGTTGACAAACTAAAAATAACCGTAAATGTCGTATCACTTTGCGCCATGATAGTGCTCACACGGCTAGACAGACAAATGAATTTTTGAAGGTGAACTACGTTGACCTTATGAGCCATCCCGCGTACAGTCCTGACCTTGCTCCTTGTGACTTTTATTTCCAACAATTAAGAACCAGTTACGCGGTCAACGATTTTCATCCCGTGAAGAGGCTGTAGAAGAGTATGAAAAGTATGTTTCAGAGATTGTCACGGAGGAGTGGCATAAAAGTTTTAAAAATTGGTTCATTTGTATAAAAAAGTGCATCAAAGCTATCGCAGAATATATTGAGAAACAATAAATTCATTTCTAACCATTTATAGTATTTTTTCTTATTCATTCCGGAAACTTGTAGTGCGCCCCACGTATAATAAAAAAATGTATCAAAATTGTTAGCTTTTAAATACGTGTGGGTTAACTTCACTTTCCAAATTTCAATGGCACTTTTTGAGTGATTTTTGTAAAAAACTTTTTTCTTTTGGTTTTAAGGTCTTAAACGTACAATAAGTTCAAGCAATGTCAATATTTATAAAATCACAGAAATATTTAAGTTAAATACAACAAAAAACCATATTTTAGGTCACACGAATGAGATTGCAGTAACACGAATGATTTTCTCATAAACATAAATGGGAAAGACGGCACGGCAATGAGAAAATATTATTACAACACACATTTTATCGTTCACAAGAAAACATTTAACAACATTTAACGTGTAACAAATATTTCAATATAACTACTTGTATCAAAATCCTTCTCATCCATGTAAGACCATCCATTTATCTATATGTAATTGATAAATAAATCTTAATAAGTATTTTGTTAATGTCGTATAAACTTTGTTGTACATCAATATATCATCATCACCACCATCAACATCATCATCATGATCACTATTATCATCAGCATCATTACCATTCACATCATTATCACAATCATCGTCATCATTGCTACAATCATCATCGTCATCATCCCACTATCATCATCGTCACTACCGTCATCACCACCACTATCACCATCTAATTGTTATATTTCAAGTAAATGTTTGGCTTAAAGTAACTATCTGACTTAAAAGTAAACAAGAATGAGAGCGACAATAATGATATTTGGATACATTTTTAATTGTCAAGTGTGTAAAATATGCTGGACCGTTATAAAAGTGCATGGATTTTAAAGTTCCCTTTGTCTTATTGATGTACAATAAAGTTTATATACTATGACTTAATACTTATTTAGATAGATTGCTTTATATAAATGAGAACGATTTAGTCACTAGTACTGAAATTGCTATTTAAGTCGGTTTTTTGCTATAACGGAGATGCACAGATTACTTCACTGTGTACAGCACACGTGAGAAGGGGCTCCTATCGGATTGGAGTCAATTGGAGTCAATCCGATAGGAGCCCCTTCTCACGTGTGCAAAGGGTGAAGGTGATGCGGTATGAACTTTTGTTATTAGGAGGCTTTTAGTTGAATTGACACTAATGATAAGAAAAATTGAAATACATTTTATATTCCCAAGAAAACATGTTTGTTTATAATAAATTGGAAAGTTACAGTATGTATTCGACGTGTAAGTTATTAGAGTTTATCCTCGATGGAAAATATTGCGATTTCCACGAGTGTTTAATTTTTTTTCTTCGTTTTATTAAAATTAGAACGACGTGGAACCGGCTCCCATGAATGAGAAATTGCCCACTTTTTAAATTTTTATTTGTTACTGTGACGTAGTAAAGTAGTCTTTTTATGTGTAACACAGACTTAGTAAGCATGCAATCATATTAAATAAATAATGCTTAGTATTCATGTAATAACATAAAAGTTATTGAAAGTGACACATTTTTGGAGGTTATCTGAAAACGACCCCCTGTAAACAATTTATGTTTACACATTGGTAACGCTATAAAAAAAATGTTGAACTAAACCAAAACCGGGTTTTTAAATACAGAGTTTCTACATATCGATAATTTGATAACAACACGCGGACCCAGTACCAAGTGTAATAAATACGTCGTTTGTGCAATGAATTCATTGAGCGTCATTCAAATCGTTCTTTTGATGGCTAGCAACCAATGTATATTGTTATTAATTGGTTGCAAGAAAATATTTTTATTTCGAAATATTAGTATTGTATTGTTTAGAATATTAGGAAATACAGAGTTTTAGTACTTACCGATGAAATTAAGTGACTCCCGGAGTATTTTTAAACTTTGGCTTCTTATGCGACTTGATGTAATGGCACAACACGGCATATTTCTATTTTTTCCACAAAATAATCTTGTATCATGTTTGAACGACAACTGACGCGCTGTTGACACTCATATCAACGTCTGTTCATAAGCTAGGTAACGCGGGCCCTCCCACTAACCAGTCTATTACTAGTATTTATGTGGTCTGTGGATTGTATATATAAGAAGTTAGATACATAGAAATTTTATTTATTTCTTAGATAAAATTGCTGATGGTTAAGGTATCAATAGGTGTTAAACAAGCATACTTTTGTAGATTGTTGAAGAATACTGGCCACAAGAATAGCTACAACACGAAGAAAGAACGGCGGACGATGAATGACGCCCAAGCAACGCCCGAGAACACAGAATACACTTCCGACAAGTGAGTATGCTCTTGCTGGATTAATCTAAATCATACACATTACACTATTAAAAAATAAACTAACCATGTATTGATAATATTATACTGAGTTTAGTGTTTAGGATAGACTGTTTGTTATTTTTTTATTTTAAGGTTGATTAAGTGACTCATTATGTGACAAATTCCCGGAATAAAATTGTGATTCATTGTTACAGTGAGCCGTTGATCGACTTCGACAACGACCTGTTCCACAGCGTGCTTGTGCTACCTGAGTCCGCCAAAGGTCAGTGTCCAAGTACCTTAATAATCTAAGCGAAGTTCAATTTTATATTCAATTAATTCATGTGAATACTTTTTGTGATCTATGATTGAGTCCTGTTTTGATAATAAATTCGGCGTCTTTTAGAGATTAAAGGTCTGGATGCCATTTATTGTTGTTTTGTAGGCATACTTTTGCTTTTTTATTTCATGATTTTTTCGCGTATCAACAGGGTGGAACTGTAAAACAGGGGGCGTCAAGTGCCCAAACTGCCACCGATTCTTTGCGAATCGCTACAACCTGAAGGTGCATATCCGTGATAAGCACGATACGCGTGAAGGAACCCTGCAGTGCGACATCTGTCAGAAGCGCATGCGTAACCCGTCGTGCCTGCGCGTGCACATGTATCACCACCGCAAGCAGGCCGCTTATCTCGCGCAACTCTCTAACCAGCCGGACCACATGACACAAGTGTGAGTTAAGTGCTAAGCTAAGGGTGGAATAAAAGAGAAATTCAATGCGTCCATGATACTGAAGAACTTTACTTATAAGACTTCCCACTTTATTTACCAACAGGTTTATCTTCCCCATAATTCCAACAGAGAGATATCAAAGATTTAGATAAGAAATATTGTGATCAGTAAATTGTTTTCAGAACAATTGGAATGTAATATTATCTGACCGCCATGAAAACGAAATAGCCCTTGATTTTAAATCGGTCCCTATTGTTAATAAGGATATTTTTCTTGTTTCAACAATTAGCATTAGTCCTTGTACACAAGCATGTTCCTGGTGTTTTTTTCCCATTGATTTACAAATAAATGGACGACGGGTCTAATACAAAAATCACGAAAAAAATGTCCCAAGTCAACCTATTTAAACGTAGGGACATGTAAAGGAATATGAAAAAGCTAAAACGTTGAATTTAAATTGTAATGTCATCGCAGTACTGTCTAATTTTGCTTGTTTCGCTGTCAGTCGAGCAAACAAAGGCTAAAGCGTGAATGACGCTCTGTATACGATTTTAACGCCCTATAAGTTCGGACACTCTTTAGCGTGGACCCGACGTCCATGTAATTGTAAGTCAATGTTTTTCCAGATGCTTTTTAAATAGGTTTCAATATAACTAAACTTATGTGTATGTTTTTAACAGAATACAGAACATGGCAGGCAATAAATGGCGCAAAGAAGCTCCACCCGGCAGCGTAGATTACAGAGAATTTGATACGTATGTGTCCTTATTTATATTTCTTAGACTATTTTTTTTTTCATTATACTTTATTATAGCGTTTATGCCTCTTTATAACAATCGTTCTGTGTTATATCAACATCAACACAGTCCCTGCTGGGCATTGTAACGTTTATAATCATTAATCATAATAGATTCAGATAGGAAAACAAATTTTTATAGGTATATGTTTATATGATATGTAGGAGATAAATGAAAACTTAGTTTTTCTATTAGTAGAACCAGAAATTGGGAAAGAGTTCATCTAGGGTAGTGCTGCCACCTTACCTATTTTTGCCGCTAAGCGGTAATGTGAGCATTTCTGCTTTCCGGTTTTGAAGGGTAAGGGTGCTGGTGAAATTACAGGCACATGGGACTTGTCAACTTATGTCTCAGGGTGACGGGCGCATTGGCAGTGCCCCTCAGATCTTTGCGTTTTAAAGCTCTTGACTTACCACCAGGCGCGCGACTTGTTCATTCGTCTGTCTGTTGGTATCATAAAAAAAGATCGAATCCGCCATTATTTTAAAAGCTATTACATAAGAATATAAACGCTGAAGATTTTTTGTGACATGTACGCTCTGAGTAATTAGATCCAAATGGTCTATGCAGCTAACCTAATGCATGGCAAAATAATAACGGGTATGGTTTGCAGGACATCGAATCCGCCTGCGGGCAAATGGAAGAAAGACGCTCCGCCCGGAGCCGGTGCCGACTACAGGGAAGCGGAAAAGTAAGTTGTTAAACGTTTCCTTGCGCTCGCTACTGCAGTTTGATAATCACAGGAATAACAGTGATGGCTTACATTAATGTTTATAAAATAACATTTCGAAGCGTCATCTTGCGTAAAATGTTATGTTATAAACATGTTTGGTATGGTAATGAATTTATTGTTTAAATGTCACTGATCTTCCTCCAGTGTTTGAACCATAAAAACACCTTTGCTAGGCGAATGACGCGACATATACTGTACAAAACTAAATGAAAAAGCGAATTAAAGAACAGGAATAGCCGTGTCTGGGCATGAGATGCATATTTAACTATATACCATTACTGTCCTATACGGTTTGCGTGCTATGTTTCCTAAGAGCTTTGTAAACATTATGTCATACTGAATGTTCTTGTATTTACCATCGGCAGTGGGATTAATTATTTGCACATATTTCGACAACTGAAGTGTCGCAAAACCTCTCATTGGAGTTGAACCCTTATTACGTATAAGAGGCAATTGTTGTGGGATTACACTGGCCATAAAGAAGCTACACTTATATTTAAACTGGACTTGTAGAAATGTGAATCGATTTCTTTAAAGTCTTGCACCTTCTTTGTCGGACTTTGCCTCGCTTACGTTTTCATACATTGTTTTAGCAAGTTGTGAAATTATTTATTTATTTTAGACATACATGTGTCAATATAAGCTATCCGAATTTAAATGTTTCATGTGAGAAAGAGGCAATGAATAAGTGTGCGCTTTGCGAATTCATATACTCTTATAAATAGTATTGATACACAAAGTTTTGATGAACACATATATTAAGAATTCAGATCCCGTAGAAATTGCATTTTGCCGAGTTAACACGGTATTCCCGCCAACAAACAATTTTTCGACTTCTTATAAAACTTGCGTTGGTTTTACATAACAATTTTCGTGTTAATATTTATCCCGCGAGGACAAGATCCAATTCTCGCAATTCTACAAGAAAATAGATTTTATACTAATTAGTCTAAGGCTGGTTTCACAGCTGTGCGTATGGTCCGTACGGACTGTCCGCTTGCGGGCCATCCACATGCGTAGGATCTGCAGTACTTTGAATCGAGTATTTAATTTAGTGCGATTATTCACGGAAGACGGTCGCATACAATGAACGCAGGATGGCTTGTACGGAGTTCACGCGGAGCGTGTTCCGTAACTCCGTACGGAACAATCCGCGTCACTGTAAAACGACGTTCTAACGTCACATGCGCTATGGTACAAATACACATGCTCGCGTGGTGTATTCGAGCAAATGCTACTTGGTGGCATGCCTGACAACGTACTTTGCTAGAAATTAGCATGCTCATGAGTAGCATGCTCGAAAATCGACCGACTGTTGAGCATATTTATTAGCATGCTATTAACTAGCATGTGTATCAGTACTTTTACTCCGCTCTGGTGCTCCGCGCGGGCGGACTGCATATAAATCTGCTCTGAAACCAGCCTTAGAAAGCCGAAAAAACTGGGTTCTTTGTTCCTCTAATTTTATTGTGTTATAACTAGCACGTGGAACAGTCAAGGGTAAAATATATATTCGAAGAATACTTTCACGAGCATGTATTAGAATACTTTTATTTTGTGTCATCGAGTATATAACCAGAAATAGAGACGAAATGTCATTTAATTTGTTTGAAAACTATTCTGCCATATCATTCTTGTGATAATTCCTCTCTGATTGGTCAGCCCGAATTGGATACAATTGACGGGTGTCGTTAAAGGGTGTCAATTGTTTCACGTGAAATTGACCAGTTAACTTGAGCTTTGCTATAATGGACGAAAATTGCAAAATTACGTATTTAATATTTAATTACCGATGACATTTGATTCCGTTTGTTTCGTAATTGGATGTTTTGTTGTTTTTCCACTCACACACGCACACGCACACGCACACGCACACGCACACGCACCACAGCACGCCATTGTTAGAGATATTATCTTTACTGCAATAAATACAGAATATTTTGGGAATATACGGAGACGTACACACAGGTCAGTTGTTGGCGCTGTACTATTTCAGATTTCTAATTTTTAATTACAGTCAAACGAGAGTTGATATTTATAAGTGATGTATCGGTGATGGGTTACCAGGAATGTATGGTCCTTATTTCGTCTCTATTTTTGGTTTATATTCGATGTTTTGTGTACGTAACACACAGAACACGTAAGAATAAAAAAATGACAAAGGAATGGCTTTTTACTCTGATACTATGGGAATCGAAATCGACAAACGCACACCTTGGATCATATATTTTGTAAAATTACGGATACCGTTACAGATGCTAATTTACATTATTGGTCTTGTATAATTATGTTTATAATATAAAAAATAACATAAACCAAGTAAACTTCTTAATATATGTCAAATTTGTAACATTTCTAAACCGCGTAAAATTTTGGGAAGTTAAGAAGTTTCGGGGCTGTTTTGAAAATGGTTTCATGTTAAGCCTATTTAACATTTTTATCAACTTATGTTTTCTGTGCTATTGGTCTTTCACTTGCGATTACGAATGATTAATTATGATAAAGGGTAACTTAGGACAATTCGTAGGTAAATACATATTTTTGCTCTTCGCTGTATAAATAGATATTCCGAAAGTAAGTGAATATTTTAGTTTTTTTACAGGAATAAAGAAGCTATAATTTTGTTTACAGTGTGAATTTCAATTTGTAAGTTTAATATACGAGTTATAGCTTGAAATATAAAATGCTGTGCGAAAATTACGATTTAACACTCAATGGAGCATCTACGACATCACCGATAGCATAATATTTATTTATTTATATTTATTCCGAGGTTGGCATTGCCGCATCGTGTGTTCTGTATGTTTTTTTTAGTGAGCACGCTCCAGGTACTGACGTTTGAAATGACAATGTGTGGTACACTGGCGTCAACCGTTTTCAATGTAAATGTCTTCCACATACTGTTCTAAAATGTGTCAAGATTTAAATCTGTCGTGTGCAGAACCAACATTGAACATTTAATGTAGAACATTGCGTTGTGGTCCGGTATGGTAACCGTTCGGCCATGGATGCAGTTACGCTGGCGACTATACTGTTTTCTTGGTACCTTTGTTATTTCTTATATATGTGCAATGTTTGAAGTTATCATTTTTATTTTAATAAAAATGTGTACCCTATAATAAGGCCACATGTGATCATATGTCAAAAGTGTCTTTATCATATGAAATTCATAAAATATATATGTTTTTTTATTTCGGAGACTGGTTTCATTCATGGCGAAGAAGGAAAGTTCCTAAAGCGTTGGTGATGTGGTTTTCAGCCGCGGGTCTTCGGCGACGCCCGAGCCGAGCAAATCTTCGGAGACCGAGCTGCCGCCGTCGCCCGACCCCGCTAAACCTGAGGCCGACTCACCCGCGGTATGATGGCATCGCCGCGCCTGGCGCCTCGCCACTCGTACACCGCAATGCTCTCGGATATCACACACATAATCGTCCACGAATCCAAGTTACAATGATTGACTTATTAAAATTAATTCAAAACGTAGTATTTAAAGGCAGCTACAAGCAGCTGTAAGTATAGAAAGTAAGACAACTATTTTATATGAAATCATATGTCAATGTTCACACAATCAAAGGTTTACGAAAATCGTTGTCACAAAAAAGAGATTATTTTTATGAATTTTGTATGTATGTAGTAATGTTGTTACCAAGTAAGAAAACAGCGCGTCCAGAGCAATGTGGTGTTCAATCTGTAATTAATAACATTCCACCACACACGTTCCAAAGACTGAAGCATCAATAAAATAATGTTTATTCATAAAGGAGCATTTGTAGAGCGATGTACAGCAGCGGTCTGCATCTATCGCACGGGTGTCGCGTTTTGTGTTCACGACGTATTCGTACTTACGGTAATTTCAATACAGGTGTTAGCCTAGTAATCATTCTTAAATAAACCACCCTGTGCTCTCTGAATTACAAATAATATTCTAAGATTCACATGAACCGCCTCCATTATTATATTCCGACGTTTACTGTCTTTAGCACTTCGTGGCGTACTTGTACACTGACGGCAACAAAGTGATACTTTAATCGATTTTAACGGACTATCCAGATTTGATTACACATAACATTAAGGTTTATGCGAATAATGTACAAATATTTTGGTGATGCATTTGTATTTTTTCACGATTTGTCAGTGGTCGAGTGCGTCGCATCGCGACGATGATCATCAAGTGACACAGTCAAGTACAAGTTTTATGAAAATAGTGTATTAGGCAGCTAGATCGAAACAAGAGTAGGTTATTTAATATAACAAAACAATGTTGCCATTCACAAGTGTACAAAAATGTTTGTATCCGAGTTGATTATGCTTAGCGCAAACGCGCCGAGCCTGAACAAAGCATAACCTTACAGTACAAATGCGATATTATGTATAATATTCATCTATAAATCTATGCTTTACTTAGTCTGTAAGTTTGCTTAACTTTAAGAACATTTTAAGAATCATTTTGAATAAATAACTTTCTTATACGTACAATATTAGTTTGGTAACGATGATGTATACATTTTTTATATATTTTGATGGTGTATACACATTTTATATTTGCTATAATAATATTATTATACAAGGGTTGTTTAGGTATGTTAAGAAAATTTATACCTCAGATTTTTCGACTGTTTTTGTAAGATATATGTGGAGCGACAGACCGCGACCGCGACCGCGGTGCAGCACCGATTGCAGAGATGTTGTATATTTTGAGATATGTAATTTTAAGTGATTGAAAATCAAACATTCCATAATGGTGTAAAATTTATTCGAACTTTATGTACGAAGCTTTAATGTGAACGTCCCATCGCCGACGAGTCGAGTCGAAACGTAACGTAGTCATTAGCTCTCTGCGGATCGCTTGTCATCCGCTCTAGGTAGCGGCGGCGGTGCGGGCCGGCAGCGCACACAATGTTCTATTAATTACAAAGTACAATATGACCACATATTACAAACGGTCGCAGAAGATGGACCTCTGCCGCCAAGTGCAGCACCAAACATTTTTCATTTTGATTCGGACAATAAAATACGTGCAAATTAATTTGAGAAGAATCAAAACGCATAAATATAATAGTTACTTACATTGATTTTTCCACTCAGTATAATATTGTTAATCAATTAGCGGTAGTGTGTGTAGCCGGCACGTCCCGCCAAGGAGGTTGGTGTTAAAATTAGAACAAAGTAAATGCGTCCATTTATCGATGTATTTTATCAAGGTTTGGGTATTTCTAACCATTAATATTAAGAGGTAGAACTAACACTTCGAATTTTTTTCTACATTCCACTAGTTGTAAGTCTGCATAATCAACCTGATAAAACTTATTATACATTATTTATAACTCTTAAGCACTCTTAGGTAAGTGTCATTTTTATATGAAATATCAAAGGATATTAATACGAAATCCATTTGAAAATGACGCTCCATAGTTTGGTAGCTGTATAGGTGTAGCATTTACGATATTTACCAAATTTTTTTTATACCAATGCTTACATTATAGTAAACGAAATGAAATTTAAACTCGCCTTCCAACACGGTACCATATCGAGCGTGTTTGGTCAAAGTACATGGCATGCAAATAGTCACTCTAATATTACTTTCATAATGATCACAAATAACTACAAACAGGCTTTGTGAATACTCAGTCCTCGCGGCCAAATATTCCATTTTCGTGACTCTAGTTTAAATCTCAATTTATTTTCTACCTTTGCACCTGTTACGCTTTTAACGGCGGTGTTACATTTTGCACAAGTTTTTAATAAAAATACATGCGATGTTACATTTCAATAACAATTCATACTGAATGCTGTTTTCAAGATATTAAGGTTTGTTATAAGTAAACTTTCAGGGTCACTCGTTGAAAAAAATGTGGACACGTGTATCTGTATTGTAGGTATACATAGTAACTGTTACATTCCATAACGAAATGTGTTATCTATAAAACTGAGCTCAAACTCGCTATTTATTATGACGTAATATATTATGTTTAACATAGCTGTTTCCATGACATTGTAGTTTATGTATAGTGTGTAAGTTCTTGTCGTGTGTTCTCTATTATTCAATTTACAGAAACAAATATGACACCGCCATTGAAGTCGTCATTTTGTTCTTTCCATTATTTCGACGGAAATTATGATTTTTTTATTTACGTACCTTTATTTTTATAACCCACATTAAAAGGCTGCTTTATTATTTTTGAAAAGTGTAACAACGCAATCAAAGATAAAAAAGAGTTGCAGTTCTCATTGGTGCCAATCCAATTAATGATACAGAGCACACGGCTTATTATAAATAAAACTGTCAATATGTACAACCTTTCGCCATACAATACAGTAAGTTTTGGGGACATTGAACTGTTTTATGTAACTATTCTGCCGGATAATACAGTTTTGTTACTGACTTATATTGTCTAATTGTAGGGTACAGTCCTCGCCCAAACTTTCTGGCGTTTGCCGTGACAACTATCCTTTGAAATTGATTAATTTCATGCATTCATTCATTTCATTATTTAGAGGCGATGTACAAAAACTTAACACTTATACTTATTTTTTTTTATACGTTTTTTTGTGAGCATATCTTGTGTTATTCGGTAAACACAGTGCACAAAAACAGTTGAGTGCCCCTGTGTATCCGTCGCTTCGCGTCGATAATCCGTCTTATTTTCAATTAATTTTTAATTTTGTATCTCTTGGTCTATCTCCTCCGATAGGCATTCTTACTGTCATTAGAATTTTATATTAAGTAATGATTATGTTGTAAGATATTTTATTTTCTTGTGTCCTCAAACTTGAGACAGACTGCTTTACAGTGTATAATACGTCTGGTTAAGTTTAAAATTATTACACAAATATTACTCTTGTAACAGTAAATTTCGAAAGACAAGTAGCAATAGGTGGATGAACCATAAATACAACGTTAAAATCGTGTATGTAACGATTGTGTACGACAGTTTGCACATTTATTAAGAATTAATCAATAAAATGATTTTTGTACAAGCCATTGTTAACGAGTTCAAATAAATTGTCGGTTGTTGTGTCAAATGCTCGGATATCTTGATGAAAATATGTGCATTTATTAGCCATTACCATTGACCTACCAATGAATGGACATCAGGTTCGCGCTAAATATGCCCCAACCTAGAGGTCATTTCGTTTAGTCGACTGCCAGCGCGCCTGTCAATCATGCCGTACTGTATAATAAAAAGTTGTAAAAATTACATAAATGCAGTTACAGAAGCGGTCAGTGATAGCTAACTGTCCTTATCCTGCACATGCCATGCGCAAAATACAGAGAGACCCATTTCAATTTCAATCATGTTCGAACCTCAAGTGACTGAAACGTTTAGAACAAAGAACACATAGAGGCGCTTGATGTTAATCTTATTTTCAAAATGACTTTTTTTTATTAAATATCTCTTATGTTTGTATGTAAGAATCTTAGTTACTAACAAAATATTGTTGTACTCGCTTTACGGCTTGGGGTTACCTATCAGAAGTCCGAAAACGTGTGCACGAAATAACGTTAGTTCGAATTTTCGCAATCGCAAAAGTATTTTATTAGGTTTTGTTTAAGAATATTACGAAACACGCTAACTTGATTTTTTTTTGTGATAAGCAACCAAAATTCCCTGAATGCATAACGGTTTTGTTAAAAATCGGTTTTTGATATTATGAAAATTTGAGTTTACGTTTCGTTGGAATCTAGAAATTCCGAACATCAATACACATTTCTTATAGCACGTCGTAAGTAACAAACAGAGAGACGCAGTTATTTTCATATTTGTGACAGTTTCCTTGTATCTTGTATTGACTTCCCCATACTGTCCCATTTTAAAAATCACTATATTTGCACAACTCTTTATTATTTCTTTAAGTGTATTCGGATGAAACTCAACATAATATTTATAAATTAATTAATATTGGCAGTAAAAGCTACTCCATTACTCTTGTGTTTAAATACTTTACACTAGAAGCTACATATGATGCATTTTTGATAAATTTCCAGTAGAAGTTGAATATGGTACATTTTTGGGCCTTTAAATTGTTGCAAAATGAAGTAGTACTGCAGTGACGTTACAATTGAAATGAAATGTTTTAGTTTTTTGTATTTTTGTTTTTTGTACTGGTCTACCGTCGTCCATTTGTTGGTAGGCCAATGGTCATCACGACCATATGTAAAATCTATCATCAAACATGTATTCTTTGCATTTCGACTAATTTCCGGTTACATGAACCGCTTTTTGTTATGTATTTACTGTACTGTGATTGATGTACAGCGATGTATTTTGTATTGGCCAGTATTCCCGTCCTGACTCACACGGTTCAAAACTTACAGTGATATTGAGATGGAATCTCATGCTCAATGTGGCTTTTTACGATAGGTGTCCCAAAGAAAGTGGAGCAAACGAAGCAGAAGGGAAGATTGTTTCACGTAAGCTTTAATCATAAATAATATTTCCATTAAATTGTAAACAGCTTTAGTTCTACACAAAAAGATTATAGGGATTATCATAAACTACTAAAAATATTCTCCCATGCTGTACGTTTAGGTATACACTTTTTGAGACGTCTATTGTGTATTATGTATGACGTGTTTTTTTTTAATATTGATGATTTACTTTATGAACTTACGCTGAGCGAATTTATTTTTCAGTTAACATGTAATCTTATTCATGTTTTTGTTGTTTATGTTTTGGTAAAACATGTTAGGCATCGGAGAGGAGATGTAATGTTTTCATAAAGAATTTATAACGCTGGTGCACGCCGTCTAATATATATGGTCTTCGCGCTGCGATCGTTAGGGTGTGAAGCTCATTACACTATATGTAATACCTTCACGCCCACTTCCCTTAATAGCTTACTCATAATAAAATATCTCAAGGTATCCGTGTGTTGTGGTTGAATTATGAATAAAAAAGCAACGTAGGTTGTGATTACGAACTGAAAATAATTTTGTCCTGTGTCCGAACAAAATTTTGCCTGGAACGAATTCAAATTAGCTTTGTTATCAATACTGTAATCCGATTCTCGGAAAATATGTCTGTTATGAATGTTGTTGAACTGTTTTCAACCATACCCCTTTGGTCTTAAACAAGCGAAATTAACGACGTCAAAGAATAAATTAAGATTAGACAGTTTGTTCATATCATCTACACCTATGACGGATTAGTGCGTGTTCACCGAATGACCTGATTTATATGGCCGGTATTTCTTGTAGCGTAGTCTCGCGTCTACGCGAAGGTACTCCAGTTAACGGGGTAATTCGCATTGCCAGTTCGCTATTTAGCAACTATATTGGCGATATGCCGTACAGTAAGTTTGTTTTTGTCACAAATTCAAACGATTCAAAATTACCATTAAATTCTTTCGATTTGTTCGTTATTTTCATTCGTTTTGGTACTATGTTCATGTAAAGTAACGTTGAGTGAAGTGACCCCATAATACTCGTATGTGTAATCTTATGTGCTATTATTACATTATTATGTATGCCAAGGTTTTATTATCACTACAATATTTTTCTTTTTCTGAGCCCCGCCCAATCCATTTACTGGATTTAGGCTTGATAACATTGTCTATTTAACACTGACCATTTTCAAAAAGATAATTTATTGTATGATAACCAAACATCAGAATAGTGATTATGCCAATAGAATTAGTATTATCTTAATTATATTAAAATACTGTAAATTAAAGTCATGTCATGAATGATATTATAATGATAACATTCATTATCAGGAAATTGTGCGAAATTGATGACTTTTAACAAAGATAATAGTGTGTATGTTCTTTCTATGGACCATAGTTATAAGTGTATATTTCTTACAACGAACAAATTCTCTAGAGTTACGACCTGTCTAATGCTCTCTACATTGTGATTGTAATATCTGTACTTTAAGCAATTTAAACTTCTCCGACCACCGTGACTGCGTAGTTATGGCTAACGATAATTAAATTACAAAGTGTTCGAACGCCGATTTGTCTGTTTGTACGCGGCAGCAATTTCGAAAAAGCAAGAATTCAGATCATGAATGAAAATTATCTTGCCTGAAATGTTGAAAGTACTACTTTATAGTACTATAAAATCTTTGTAAATCATGAACCACTACCCAGTTTGCGTGACGTGTTAGTTCCCATCTTCGATCTTCACTTATGTCAAAACTTCGACACAACTGACTCAGTTGGTCAGTTTATATGATTCGTCAGTACTCACATTTGATTAGTAATTATAAAGTGTCATATATGTATAATATATATATATATATATATATATATATATTATATATATATTTATATATATATTATATATATATATATATATGTATGTGTACACACACACACACACACACACACACACACACACACACACACACACACACACACACACACACACACACACACACACACACACACACGCACGCGCACACGCACACACACACACACACGCACACACATATATCTACTATCACTCGCGCATGCTCGGGGATGTTCGCGCAATCCGCGGAAGATTTTGGCTCGTACCTATCTACTTTGTACGATACACAATTGACCATAAAATTAATCATGCTATGTACAATATCGTTACAAAAATTCGCTTCCATTCCGTTCCGCCGCGATTTAAAACAAACGAAAATGGTTTTTGATGACTTGCTGACGTAAAATAACTCTTAGTAGGCTTTAATATTGTAGGTGTGTGGGCCAGTGTATATTGCTCAGTATCATATTATTGAAGAGACAACACTCTTGTACCTACATTCTTGTATTTCCGCATAAGAAAATAACACCGAAAAATGACTGAAATATTGACCAAAAACAATTGGTCTAAAAGGCAGAGGTGTAAGAAATAATTTATTAGTATCAATTGTATCTTTTTACTTGAAAATTGTCTGGTCTGCAAATCCGCATAAACGACCAATACTTTTACACCAAAAACATTTTTTGAGAAACACTTACGTGCCTGTGTTTATAACAGAGGATGCCATATTTTCTAAATATATGCAATTCTACGGCTTATTTTACGGTGGCGTCCATTCGTACCTAGCAAAAAGGTGGAAGCGTGATTTGTAAAGGTACATCTGTTCTCGAAATGTAATAATACTTATATTTATTGAAGTTCATGTTTAGAAGTATAAAAAAATAAAAATAGTTTATCTAACAATACGTTTATTGTGATTATAGCAGAATCCGTATATTAGTGACAAATCTATACCTTCCAATAAGACAGCGGCGATAACGATCGGAAAAAGCTTGTCAAAGAGCATGCTGGTGCTTTGTACTGTTCGTCAACGTCGGCCATTAAAGAACTTGAATGTATACATCTGTCGAATCGCATAAACTGGTCAGTTTAGTTAACTGACAAAATAGCTCAACAAATAAGGTAACCAATTTAAACTGACGATGTAGAAAACCAGCTCACTAATGCGAAGCTACCCGTTACGGACACTGGCGTGGTTAACTGATTCATATTACACAGGCCAAATTGAACTTAATTAAAAAGTTATAGATTAGACAGCACTTCGTAGTACCGTCCCGGAACTGTGCGGCTCCACCCACGGTATTGTTTAAGCGGCATTGTGCGACTTGTACGGTGCCCCTGATACTGTATTTGCTTTCAAGATGCACCACCATTTATATCACAGTTTCCCAATTATAATTATATCACAGTGGCCCTAGCGGTCCCAGTTGGCGCGGTAGGGCAGTCCTCGGAAGTAATTGGGGGGGCCTGCGTTGATGCTGTCCAGGGGTTGCTACCGCATTTGAAAAAATAACTGAATTATCTATATAAACTATACTACATATACATATTTTCTTGTGATTTTTTTTGTGTTAAGTTATACGTGTTTTCAATTATATTTTGTGGTGGTGGGCGTTGAAATTTTTTTATTTTGCCTAAGTGGGCGGTGAGCCAAAAAGTTTGGGAACCTATGATTTATATCATAGCCTATTTTACAAAGGGCGGTCTAATCTTTTAAGTTATAAAAACGTCTTTTCTGGGAACTAAAGAAGTTGGATACGGTTCAAGTTGGTTTTATTGAAAACGTTTTATGACCGTGAGGCGTTCAGACTCTGTATCGCGGCTGAAAATAATAAGTCTGCTGATATTCTCTGGATTTCAGGTTAGGATACCTTAGAGGTATATAATCTCACATTCTCACTACATTCAGCTACCTAAAATACAAAAGGAAAGATGTTTTTTAACTTAACTTTTTGATTTTGAGTCCGAGTGCGGTGTTACTCAATTTAGCCATGGGCGAGCGCACGCGCAGCTAGTGTCACGTGCGCCGGTTCGCCGTATTCGATGTTTTAATGTATATAATGTAGCGTCGACTACGAGTGCTCTGGTTATACTCAGATACTTTTATATTTTATACCTAGCTTTACATGATTAAATAAATTATAATTTTTTACAAAAGCTGTTTAATTTGAAAATAACCTGCATTCTATCATTTCATGCTACGTGAATGTCATTATGCATATCGATGCAAGTGGTTGCATTCGCATGGGGGAATTACGAACCGAATAATAATAATTCATTTATTTGTGGAAACACAGGTTTATTATACATGCAGGAATGTTTCGTTTATACTCGTAGCCAATAGTTAGAGGCCTTAATCCTGGTGTAGTCTGGGACCACTTCTATATTGCCTACCGCAGCGACGACCGGACTGCGGTCGTATATGAGTTCCTCGCACAGTTCCCTTACGCGGTCTAATTTTACGAACTGGTACTCGGTGACGCGATCTAATGTCGAGGGCCTCTGCCCGTAAAAAAGGAACCATCGTGCAAGATCTTTACAGGCGCCTGGTAGGGTGTCCAGCTCTGTGACCAGGGATGTTATGTATTCGTTTCTGGCTCGCTCCAATTCTACACGAGTCAAGGACAGACACAACTTTACGCATTGCTGTTGTAAGTTGTATAAGAAATCGTCCGCGTGCAACTTGGGCGCTGTATACTGTATGCCCCATAAGCCAGTGTCTTTGTATTTGAAGTAGAAGCTTTTATAAGCATCCGCCATGCCCGTGGCGGCGGCGCGGGCGCACATCGGCGCAGGTAAATTCCCCCGCGGCATACTTGCGTCCCAGCCCCCAATGAACGTGGTAGCCATATCCAAAACATACGCGTCGCTGTGACAGAAATTGGGTGCTTCAAAAGCGATGGCTACGTTGGCGAAAGGCAGGTCGTCGTTTCTATAGCGAAAGTCGCCGCATGAAAAGCGGTATACATAATCCGCGCACTTAGCGGGCTGCAGGTGGTTCAGATATAATGCGCCGAGATCATGTACGCACTGGTGCGTAGCGCCTCCAACCGCAACTAATACGGTGCGCGTCGGGTCAAAGTTCTGCCTCATGTACTGGGCTATGGTAGCTTCTGTGAAGTTGTACAGGTTTGTACTGGGCCCTAAAACCGATTGTGCGAGCGGTGTGCCGTGGAAAGCCGCGCCGTGTAAATAATCCATTAATATTTCATTGGTATCCTCGTCGTGATCCATCATCTCCAAATAGGCAACTGATTTGGCCACTTCAATCTCAAATGGGTTCAAGGCGTTCTGGAAAATGCAGTCTGAGAGGATATCGACGATAAGCGGCAAATCCTCGAGCAGGCACTCGGCGTAGTAGCCGACCAGCTCCTTCTCAGTGAAGGCCTTAAATTGAGCACCTGTGCATGTCATCTGTGCCTCCAATGCCTGTTTGGACCGATTTCTTGTACCTTTGTACACTATATGTTGGAAGAAATGTGCAATGCCGTTCTCGAACATGTTCTCATACCGCGAACCAGCATCAAAAAAAAGGCCGATACACGCGAAATCGACGTCGCGCCACTCGGTAACTACGCGCAAGCCATTGGAGATGCAAGACACTTGCGGTTGCGGTAGGTTACGTAGTAAGGTCATGAAGTTGTTGAAATTAGAGTAATAGCACATACTGTTCAGCGGCCTCCACAGCGGTTTCAATAATTTTGATGCAGCTAACATTTTGCGATATGCGATCAGCCTCAACAGTAACAAATATTTGTATTACAACTTTCTTAAAAATAATTAAAAATATGTTTGTGTAGATGCGAACAATGACACGTACCCAACATATATGTGTAAAAAAAAAATCAAATTTCTTCTAAAGCTGAACTTAAACAAATTAGACCGCGAGTGAACATAATGATAATTATTTCTTTCTAATTCGTTGAACCTTTTTGACATTAACATATGTTTTTTAATTTCTGAAAGAAGGTTAGTCGGTAAAAGGGTTATATTACTGACAAATGGTCATTTATCGAGTATACCGGTACCTACATACTAAATCTATGAGTAAACCTATAATTAGATACTAGATGATTATCTATAACGCGCCGGCAGCGAGTTATCTAGACCTTATAAAGTCCTTGACACGAAATAACTTCTAGACTCATTTTATACTGCTGCGGCACGGAATAGAACGGAAACGTCAATTTCGCCTCAACCATTCACGAGAATTCTCGCGATTTGGGTAGTGAGGGATATATTCTATATGTATATATAGATAGATATTATCATTATTCGAGAATATTTCCGAATGCGGACATATTCTCGGAGACACTGCGAGAATGTTTCCCAAATGCGAAATTTACATAAAAAATTGATTTTTTGTTATAAGATCATTTTTTTCATTAGGTACTTGACGCTGCTGTTGAGATAAACCCATTTTGGTGAAAAACCTTAAAATTTCTTAAACTTCCTGAAATTTCGTTGACTTTCCAGAAATGTCATTAGAAAGTTTCCAGATTCTACTGAAAAATATCTTACTTTCTTTGTTCACCACATGGTGATGATTTTATTTAATTTCATTATTTTTGGAAAACTTACAGCTACATAACAAGAATAGAATAAAGTATAATACACGCCTGACAGGCCAGTGCATGTATGCTGAGCTTATTTTTTTCCATCGTATATGATGCTGAGGGCTATAATTAAAAATTTCCATAGATAATCATTGACAGTGATAGAAATAAACTATAAAGTTAGTTGCCGACTTAAAAAAAAGAACATAATGAATAAAAATAAGGAAATTAAAAACGTTAAACAGTTTAAGGCTCAACTCACACTGGCGCAGAGTCGAAGCGTCGCGCTAATGTGAGTTGAGCCGAATCTACATATTTGAAGAAAAAACATATCACTGAGTAAGCGCTTTAGTTTACTTGTACTGGTGTTGTACAAGTCTCTCACCATATCTATTAACTAAGGAGTTAAATGAGCGAGACGCTCTATTTAAAAATGCATTTTGTCTATAATTTGTCCTAACCCTAGGAACGTAAAAAGTGATAGGATTTTTCAGTGCAACCTTGCTTGTGCGTAGTCCTATTTGCTCAAGGAGTTCAGGGTAATTGACAGTGCCGTTTGCTATGTTAGTTAGGTAAATCAAATCAGCCATTTCTCTCGGTTAGTATAATGGCAGAAAGTTAAATTTGCGACGCCTAGTCTCATAATCTGGTAGAAATATACCGGCTCGATATTGCAAGTAACGTAGAAATCTCTTTTGGATACCTTCTATTCGTGCGGAATACACATCATAATGAGGATTCTACACCTGGCAGGCGTATTTAAGATGGCTACGTACGTAAGAACAAAAAAGTTTTGATACTTTTAAATTCCGACGAGATTCTTAACACAAAACCTAGCGAACGAGAAGCATCTCGTTCATAAAAGCATTTTTGACTATAATATTATCAACATATGCTTATCAAACAACAATTTACTATCAAAAGTTACCCTTAAATCTTTAATCGAGTGTACTCTAGTTAACGAAGCATTACAAAATGTGTTTTTTATTTAATATTTTTGTGGGTTTTCGAGTATAGGTACTCACGTAGCATTTTGAAACATTAACGTCCAATTTGTTTACTGTATAGTAATTTCGAAATCTGATAAGATTATTCTGAAGACAGTCATTTATATCTTTAATTTTACGCAAAATTTTCATGTCGTCTATAAAATGTAGGCATATAAAAGTATTTTAGAGTTCAGAAAACAGGAAGCGATACTATTTACGAAAATTATGAAAAGTAGGGACCTAGTAATGAGCCTTGGGACACACCGGAGGGGATGTCCATAGGCAAAGATGAGTAACCACCTAAAACTACTGTTTGACATCGACTTCGGACATAAGAAGATAACCATCTAAACAAATTCCCTCTTATACCCATTTTTTGTAGCTTTTCTAACAATTTTATGATCGATTCGATCAAAACACTTAATGTCTATAATAGGAATAATCCGTATATATTATATCAACTTGTGACGGTTCAGATATATCCGTAGAAAGAGATTCCGCACAAAGTAAGAGATTCGAAGTGGTAGACCTACCTCTCAGAAAACCGTGTTGGTCTAGCGAAATGCAATGTTTGAGCACGGGATAAAGTTGTGAGTAGAGAATTTTTTCTAAGACCTTCGCAAACAGGTACAACTTCGATATTGGCGTATAATTTTCTACCTTGGGCACTTTTTGTGAATGGGGGTGATGAAGGCAGATTTCCAGAAGCTTGGGACGATGCCTTCAGAAAGAGCGGCGTTGATGATGATGATAATGTGATGGTGGTGGTGATGATGATGGCGACGATATTGATGATGATAGTGATGATGACTATGATGGTAATGGTAATAGTGGTGGTGATGAGCCAGTGTACTTAAACTCAATATCAAATAATGTTTATTTTATAAGTAAGCAAATTATAATAATAATATAATAACGTACACCCTCATAGCCTCGCACTAGGGAAACCCTGTATTGCGGGTGCCATGAACACATACATAGACAACCACAGATTACATCCAAATTCACAAGAGAAATAAATGTAGACCGTACAAATATTTCTCCCGGACCGGAATTGAACTCGGGACCTCTGCGCGGCTGTCCAGTATTGTAACCGTTGAGCCACAGAGGCAGTTAACACTTGAAATCGTAACACTGATTAAACTCTATTGCTCATTCATAAGGGGAATCTCCCTGAGAAGAGTGAACAGGAAACTCAATGGGATGCTCTTTATAATAATCTAAACATTTATAGTTTAAAGAAATTGACATTCTTGCCTTAACACGCCTGTCCATAGCAATTGCAGAGCCACTCAGAGCTTTACATCGCAAAGATCTGAAGGGACCTGCCGTGCGCCCTCTCTCTCTCAGGGTGACCCCTAAACAGTAATACTCACATTAAACTGTTTGTTCAATTGTGTCAATTCGGGTGTATTTTTTTTGTACGTTTGTTACGCGATTATGTGTATGATTTGTGAATCGATTTTGAAGATTCTTTTTTGTTGGAAAGAGGGTACCTCCTTAATGCTCCCATTTTGAATATGAAGGAAATATTCCACCTCTAAGGGTGGCAAACTAGGGGATGAATCCGGTTTCGCGAACTTTCCGGTTACCGATTTCAATAAAACTTGGCAACTAGATATATGTAATTCTACGAACTTTTGGGGACGGTTTTTTTAAAACAAATTTTAGTATATTCCTTTGAGATTGGTTGAGTGACAGTAACATTATCAATGCCAAACATAATCCGGAGCGTTATTTAACCGACTTGAAAAAAGGAGGAGGTTTTCAATTCGACTGTATGTTTTCTTTTTGTATTTATGTTACGCGATAACTCCGGTATTTGTGAACCGATTTTCATGATTCTTTTTTTGTTGGAAAGGGGGTATTTCCATAGTGGTCTCATTTCATTTTGAAAAAAATCATCCACCTCTAAGGGTGGCTGTTCACACATAAAGATTCATTTTTATAAATAGCGCCTAAATTTTACTTAAGGAGCAATTATTTTAATGGTTGATTTTGCTATTTCTCCAATTCAAGGCGCTTTTCTCTCAATATACTTCGAGTAGTGAGAACCGATTTTTATTATCTCCAGTGTCAAGTCCTGTATAGTGGCGAATTTAAGGATATTTCAATAAAACTTAGCAAATAGACGTAATTCCATGTACTTTTGAGGTCGGTTTTTTTAGTACTCTGTACTGAGATTATTTCGGTAAAAAGCTTAGAGGATGAAAAAAGGTAAACAGTTTCCACGTAATACAGTGGCATAAACGCAAACCGCGAATTATCACAAAATAAAGATAATCTTTGAGCACTCGGTGGTGAAGTGGATAACAAACTTGGACTTGACGTATCCTCGGAATTCAAATTTACTGGGAATTGGATCTTTATACCCGACTAGACCCCAATCTGACCCACCGAAGACGAGGCTTAACACCTTTAAATTAAATACTGGACTGTAGACTTGGCGTATGCCTATTTTTTTATGAAAAGAAGAAGAAAAATCAAGACTTGGCTGTATGGTGTCAAACCTGTGCCTTTTCTAAATTCTCTGAATTTCTGAATGAAAAATGCAACAACTCAATAGGCCAACTTTTTATCTTGTTTGGGGCCAAACCTTCAAAAAGTGAAGTAAAGAATAAAATAACCGCTCTCAAAATATTTGTCTAAACTTTTCAAAATGTGGAAACGTAGTGTACATCGTGGGGTACTGGGAATTCACCGGCACCTCAGTTCAAAGGATGCCTCTGCAATTTTCTACTTTGGTAGTACGCAGCAACCACCCGTGATCCCGCCGTGTTGCTGGTCTGTAATTCCTAATGGCATCCGTGTCATTACTGAGCAGACTTGTTCGCCTTTCGCATGCGCTGCCCTCTTTTGCGAAACTGGCCCGCGGTACGAGCATACTCTCAACAACGGCGTTAGCCATTTTCTTGAATTCGTCGCATACAAAGGTTTCTGCCGCTATCAAAAGACAAGCTTCCTCAGTTACATGGAATCAATCGGTGCCCGGTTCTGGGCCAAAACCACTAGAGAATGGCAAGCGTTCATGGGCACCTGTCCCACTGAAAATGCAGGTGATGTAATTAATGTCCTCGCGAGGATCATGAACGATCTGCAGTTAGACGATTGTGAATTAGCAATTGCGAGAGCGCAGTACACTCACATGTTACATGACGTTGACAATGATCCCAGAGGGCTTGTGTTTGATTTCTTACATGAAGGTGCTTTCCAAGGTACTCCATTAGGATTCTCTGTAGCTGGTTCATCTGGAAACTTGAATCTAATTTGTAGAGAAACTTTACGACACCATTTACATAAGCAATATCAACCGTATAGGTTAGTTGTAGCTGTATCTTCTATGTTCAATCATCATGACGTGGTGTGTATGGTACAGAACGATTTCGGATGTTTGATGCAAACGTGTGCTGACCCTGTGTACTGGCCGTGCCGGTTCTGCGGGTCCGACGTCCGCTTTAGAGATGATTCGATGGGTTTCGCTCACAGCATAATAGCTATTGAAGCTCCCGGCTATAGAACTAAAGATTACATGACGTTTAAAATTATGGAAGCTATGTTAGGCACATGGCACATAAGTCGTGGTCAGGGACTAGGCACCTGGCCGGGTTTAGCTTTCTGCTCAGAAATCGGTAAACTGTGCGTCAGTTTCGAAACTTTTTATATACCTTACCGTGACATTGGATTGTTTGGCGTTTATTACGTAGTTCGTAAGGAGGCCGATCAAGATGACATGGTGGCGATGATAACGAATTTTTGGAAGCACTTGAGCATATTGACAGTTTCGCCGGAGGTAGAGTATGCGCAAAACGTATTAAAATTGAAGTTTGCGAAGGAAGTGAACGGCTGCATCAATTCTTGCATGGACATGGGAGTGCAGATGCTGTATACGGGTTGGCGGCGAAATTTGGAGGAGACGTGCCTTGAAGTGGAATCAATTAAACCCCACGCTGTAAAAGAAGCAGCGAAACATTATTTCTACGATCGGTGTCCAGCGGTGGCTGCGATCGGGCCAGTCGAATCCTTAACAGATTACACCAGAATAAGAGCCGGAATGTTTTGGTTGAGGTATTGAGTTTTTAATTATATTGCTATGTATGATATTTAATTTTTAAACTATATATTTTTGTGTTGGGAACCTCAGTTCAAAATTTATAAAATATAAGAGATTTTTGAAACTGATTGAAAGATATGTATTTATTTGACTACCATTGTAACCTATTGGACTCGCTGAAAGAAATAAACAAAATAAAAATATCGTACTACAAACACTTGCATGAGATTAAATAGGTACTGGTGTAGGGGAGAGCGGGGCTGAACGTTCCGATTTTCAAATAAGTTGAAGTTTTATACTGAAAATGAAGGATTTGATTTTCAACATGTGGAAATATTGAACAAATGTTTGTCGCTTTTTGTAATTGTATAGTCACTTCAACTAATATCTCAATAGTCTTTTTCATAGAGGCAAATTTTTGACAAATTTCGGAGCGGAACATACAGCCCCGCTTTGGGACGCATTGTTCCGTCTTTGAGGCAAATTGTTTCTCCTAAATTATGACAGGATAACAAGGAATGTCTTAAATAAAACCACCTTTTTTATAATTGAATGTATCTAATGTTTATATTATGTACAACTGACTTTAAAAAAAACTACATTCTTATTCATCAGTAATATTATTATTCATAGCTCATTTCTTCATCTGAATACACTTGAGAGACACATAAGTGACTCTATCATCTTGTCTAAATAGTTGACATGCTCCGGTTTGTAGTTTCGCATCCTTAAAACAAAGAAAAATGGTCATAAGAATATTAAGTATGATTGCAGGTCGATTGGGGAAGTTGTTCCTAGGAGCAACCAGCCCCTCGAGGTAGGAACTTATAGCCCCAAATTACGTTTTTATACAACATACCGGCAAATCAATGAAAAAAATACTCAAACAATAAGATTCCTTAGTAATGTCACTACAATTTAGAAAAGTTACGTATGAATCGGCCCATAATAAACAAAGACAGACTAAAAAATTTAAACAAAAAAAAATGTAATTACGTAATGTTTTGACATCTCCACCCACTTCCGTCGTAGCCGAAGTAACTGAAATGGCTGCCGGGAAAGCGCATCACCTGACGCTTTAACGACGTGCTTCACATGTATTGCTATATATTTTTCTTGCACAGTTATTGCTGTGAGAACAACTTACCCCGGAAACTACCAGTCCCGGTCTCCCCTACTTCAGGTACATATTATAGGTAGAGAAGGCTTTTAAAAGGTCAGAGAAAGTATCTTATGATGTTGGTGTCTCATACACACATTTAAACTTTACTTTGTATATAATTATTTCCTAAAATCTACATCAAAAAGCATGTTAGAACACTTTATTGTATATAAATTTAATTTTTAATTTAATATGCAGTTAATATCTATTTCTTTCATAACATAAATAAAAAATATTTCTTCAAAATAGTGATGAATCATGTGTGTTGTCAAGTATGTTTGTAGTGAGGAGTGGGTATGCATGTGTGTTTTGTGTATGTGTATTATGTATATATTTACGTAAAGTCACTTGGAAATAGGTAAAAAACTTAACACAGGTAAAAAATACCTATTTTACACAGAACTACCATTGCACTGTAAAGTAAACTTTTCAATTGTAACATATTTTTTATATTTGGGGGTTGATGTTGCTGGCTTCCGTAGTTTTACCCTCGAGACCCTACAAGTGATCCCTGAGTCGTGCTAAAGAGCAACAAATACTGGTGGTAGGGTTCGGCTGTGGCTAGTCACCACCCTCACAAGATGCAGTCGAGTCGCCAAATGATCTTCACCGTGTTCCAACTCGTGTTCGGGAGTTGCTATTAGGAGGTCGGGTCTGAATACTTGTATTGTGTCTGATGACAAGTTGTAGCTGCTTGTACTGCCACATTAAGCACTAGGTTCTGGAAGCTAGCGGGATCCGAAGCACGGTGCACCGCTGGCCGACTGTGGGAAGTTGGGGGCCCAAGTAGCGGGAAAGCCACCCGTGAAAGGCTGCCCCGCCACCCAACGAAAATCCCAGAATTCTCCACCTTGCCGGTTGGCGACCGGAAGGAAGGACCAGGTGGCCATCTCCGTCCCCGAGTTCTCCAAACTGATTGTATCGACGTGTGGCAGTGTGAGCTTACTGCTTGTTTGAATACGACGCAGTGCCTCGTTCAACTGCCTTCCTCCTGTCTATTCACTTCTCAAAGCAATATGAAAAGTCATAGAAAAGGAAAAAACTTTACAGCGGTTGCACGTTCTCTCACTAAAAGTACACCTCACTAACATCCGAGGTCTGCACTCAAGTCTCGTTTCGGTCCACTACCTCCTTGAAACCGACCCACAGAGACGCGGATCAGATGTCCGACTGTTAACAACTGATCCAGACCGCTAGTCTGTGGTTGTGGAGGCCCCACTGGGTACTTCCGACCTTTGTCTGGTGAAAACTGAATCCGTATACTGATGACCCGATCAGGGCCCTAGTGGTATGAGACGGGTGTGGCGGCACAAGTTAGCAGATTGGGACGAAATGCGCCATTTCTTTGCATCACATCCCTGCCGGCGTGCTTTACTTCAGAAGACCCGTCGAGCTGTGCTGATGCTGTGTTCGAGGTCTTGCGTTTGGGTATGGAGTATTACATACCATACTCTGATGTACCCAATGGACCCCAAGCTCGTCCATGGTTTAACTGTGCTATCTAGTGTTGTGTAACGGAATTACTGAACCAAACAGTTCTTTGAAGGAGTTCTATTACTTGCCATAGATGGCATAATTATGCATGAACTATTGAATAATTATGCCATCTGTGACTGACTTAAAGCTAGGAATCCTGTAAACATCATCGCAGATAGGGACACTCTTCGTCACTCAATACTTAAATATTTTATTGAGTATCGGAGTAGGAAAGAATTATGTGGATTATTCTGTCTCTAGGATTATAAAAGATTATTGGATTTTAGTATCCATGCAATATAGGTGCTTTTTATTTGTCATAAAAGCACAAAATTGTGAAATATTTAGAAAAACACTCAATTATGTTTCATTTAGTGAAAAATTACACTAAGTGTTAATGTTACCGATGATATGATACGCCTTCACCGGATACATTTTTATTATTGCTATTATTTCGACAACACAAAAAAGAATAATAAACCGTAATTCACTCAAAATATTTTTGGTTTACGTAGTGAAGTGCAGACAACAATGATTGGTTATGGTAGATATATCATGGCTACAAAAGTACGCCCTACTTCACACTTCTACTCAGTGATATTATACCTTCCACTGGTTTATTATTCTGTGAACGGAATGGATTGGATTTTCATCAGCCAAATTAACTCGACCGGCCTATGGCCTTAATCCGTATCATGTTCATGTGAATCCAAAAGGTATGTCATCGGAACCTATTTGTTAATAAGTATTTGTTACTATTTTTGGCAAAGAGCATGTCACTTGTTCGGTGAAACTAACACTCTAACAGCAATTTCAGTGATGGTGGGTGGCTCAGTAGGAGGACCTTCACAGTCTTGCAATCAGAAGCTTTTAAAGCTAAGTTTAAGTTTTTAAAGCTTTCTTATGCGATCACCATAGTTCGCTTACTATGCTAGTCTGCTTGTTGGAGTTGTTATAATATGTTCTCCGTTAAAGAACCCATGCACAAGGGATACATTTTTGGTGACTATTGTAGGCACTTCATTTTAGGTGTTTCAGTGTTTGTCAGTTTCGATTTTCGTATGAAAATTTATTAAAGTCGTATGGTTTTAATTAACGATTTCATAAAATTTCCATTTATTAACCCTATATAGAGGCGCATTAAAGGAGCCTCCTGCCAAGACGTACTATTTCTTTCCTGTACGTTTGACGCACCCTGGGCAACAATCGTCGAGTATAGTTGGCAACATAATATTTGCACTGATTCATCTTATCGCTTCATCTTTAGAGTACAATAGGATAAAAGAGTGAGCCGTCTCGCTAACGCACGTGCCATCTGTAGTAGCAGTAGAGCTCCTTGTGTAAGAGTTCATCCAGGATAGTACTGCCACCTTACCTATTTCTGCCGCCAAGCAGTAATGTCAGCATTACTGTGTTCCGGTTTTGAAGGGTAAAGGTGCTGGTGAAATTACAGGTACATGGGACTTGTGTCTTAGGTTGACGGGGGCATAGGTAGTGCCCCTCAGATCTTTGCAATTTAAAGCTCTGAGTGGCACTGTAACTGTTATGGACAGGCGTGTAGCTTACCATCAGGTGCACGACTTGTTCGTCCCGTCACTTAATGATACAAAAAAAGTTTAAACACTTTTACGCATTGGCACTTAATCCTAACCTTGGTAATCTTTATGCGGAACTACCTTGTCGAATTTGTAAGAAAGAGTCGGCAGACAGTATTTTACGAAGTACCTACGAGTTTAAAAAAAACGACTTGATCAGTAAATAAATAATTCAAAACTAGAATTCAGAAAAAGCATTTAACGCACCTAGGCCCGTACCGTGGACCAAGATCTTTAGTCCATGTACGTTTTAAGCAAAAGAAGTGTTTATGGTTTTATTACACTGTTATAATAGAAAGGATAAGTTGTTCCAAGAGATAACATTCATCGGTGCAAATAATATTTCTTCTACTATACCTTACGCCGATTTGCAAATCCTTTCACCACAAAAAACAAGCATTATAAGAAGAAGAAGAACCCGATATTCATTCGTGCTTGATTGGACTTTAATAAATGTCGCCGGGCTAATAGCCCAATGGCAGTCCAAATGTCGTCAAATGACGACACGCACAAATCGTGTGACTGGTGGTAAGCGATACGTCACTGCCTGCCATTTCACCAACACAAACCAAAAACACAAAAAATAATGCTCACATTGCTGCTTGACGGCAGAAATAGGTAAGGTGGCAGTACTTCCATGGTCGAAAACTAAAAGAGCTGCTGTTTACACACATAATATTTGCACACGTTATAAAATCGATATATTATTATTTCGTATCTGTTCGTTGAGTACTATATTGCAATTTATTTGCGAGTCGTTCGTCTGTCACCATCTAAAAGTTTAACTTGGACTTTGCAT